GTGGTGCACGGGCTTCTCATTGTGGTGGCTTCTCTTGTTGCAGAGTATGAGCTCTAGGTGTGTGGGCTTCAGTAGTTGTGGCACATGGGCTCAGTAGTTGTGGTGCACGGGCTTAGTTGCTCTGCGGCATGTGGGATCTTCCCGGACCAGGGCTTGAACCCGTGTCCCCTGCATTGGCAAGTGGATTCTTAACTACTGTGCCACCAAGGAAGCCCGCTTCATTTGTTCTTAACTGAAAGCAGTTCTCAAAGCAGACCCTCTGCATTGGGTTAGTGCTTGTAGTGTCGATACTGAATTGGTTTGAATAAAGCTTCTTTAGGGAATCTTCAGGGCAAGGAAAGTTGTGTTAATTTGAATTTATATAAATTGGGCTTCCCTGGTGGCAAACAATGATACACTACAGTAGAGTATTATCACTCCCATTTTACAGGCGAGGACTCTGAAGCTCGAGGAGTGGGGTTACATGTATGCACACTAGGGAGAGAGGCAGACTGACTGAGCTAAGCGCGACCCCCCAGATCACTCAGGAGTAAACTGCAGAGTTAAGGACTCAAACTCAGGTCTCCTGATCCCTTTCTATTTCACCAATCACTATGAAAAAAATCTCCACTGCAAGCTGGTTGGGTTTAGCAATTTTCTGCTATTTTTCCTAAATGAAAACTTAACCCACTCCAAATTCCTATCTTAGTGATAGAATACAAACAGGCTCCGGACACGCAGGCCCAGCAGCCATGGCTCACAGGCCCAGCCGCTCTGCGGCATGTGGGATCTTCCCGGACCGGGGCACAAACCCGTGTCCCCTGCATCGGCAGGCGGACTCTCAACCACTGCGCCACCAGGGAAGCCCCTGAGCCTATTTTAAGAAGGCATCTTTAACTGCATAATGTATTAGTGGCCTTCTGCGGTGGGTGACTTTAAAAAAAGATTTGCCTTGCTAGAGAACTACTGCTTTGCCTAATAAATGACTCTAACTGTCAGACTTAAGTTTGTCCCTTTAGGTCATTTCTTACTCTGTAGCATGTAGATTGGATCAACTGTGGATCTGGAAAGAACTAGGGACTTGTCTGAATCTCTTTTCCGGGTCATTCTAGGAGACCATTTCAGCTGTGGCAATGGCCAAAGTAGGTAGAACTGGAAACCCAGAAAAGGTGGGAACTGAGGTGACTGGAATTAGTTGAAAATGTTTGTTTCTGAATAAACTACTGTTTTCCTTATTCTTGGGCTGCTAGCTTTATGACTGCTATGGGGACTTAAGTGGAATGGTCATAGTGAACCCAGAGAATTTAATAGAAGAAAGGTTTTTTCTTCTCCACGTGTTTCTTTCACTTTAACACCCCCCACGCCCCGAGATAGATGTTCTGCTTATGAGGATTTACTATTTTGATCAGTTTTTCAAGCCTAGTATGTTAGATTCCGGGCAAAGAAAGACTAGACTTAATTTTGAAACCAGAAATGAGAAGGTATTTCCCTTAGAGGGGAGTCAGCTGCTCGTTCCTTGAAGTGAGTTCAGACATCATTCCCTGTGGGAACCACTTAGCCAAAGTACTGTCCAGTTCTTTGTGATTGGAGCAAAAAGCTCTGGTGGGCAGCCAGCCTAGAGTGGCATTCCACTGTAAGGAGTTGGGATTTTGAAGATGTTAACGGTCATGTTTTTGATCAAATTTACTACCTACAAAGGTTCTTGGTTTTATAGAACCTTTGGAATATTTGCCCTTTTATCATTCTCAGGGCATTGAGAGAAGTGTTTAAGTGGTTACTTCTTTATCCACAGAGAGATTTTGATCACCCATGTAAAGAGTTTAGAACCAAACCTCTGCAATTATTTGGCTTTGGCTTTTGAGAGTTCAAGGAGTAGGATTTCCTTGGGGTGACTTTTGGGGGGTATTGTTCTTGAGTTTTAGTTTTATTTTTGCCCCCTACTTCAATGTCTTATGAAGACTAAAGTTCCCTGACTTTAGTCTCATTTGTGAAATGAGGATCACTTACAGACTGTAATAAGGAGACAACTGTATACTTTTTGAGTGTTAAATATTAAGCCACTGATAACTGGATAAATTCTCACGTGGTATTTACACTTTTATCAGATTCCAGTGATGTGACTATACCAGGGGTCAGTAAACTGTGGCCCATGCGTCAGATCTGGTCCATGGTCTGTTTTGTATGGCCCAATGACTAAGAATGGTTTTTACAACTTTCCTTAATAAGTTTATTTATTTATTTTTGGCTGCATTGGGTCTTCGTTACTGCACGTGGGCTTACTCTGGTGGTGAGCAGGGGTTGCTCTTTGTTGCGGTGTGCGGGCTTCTCATTGCGGTGGCTTTGTTGTGGAGTTTGGGCTGTAGGCACACTGGCTTCTGTAGTTGTGGTGCACGGGCTTCAGTAGTTGTGGCTCATGGGCTCAGTAGTTGTGGCTCGTGGGCTCTAGAGCACAGGCTCAGTAGTTGTGGTGCGCGGGCTTTGTTGCTCCGTGGCATGTGGGATATTCCTGGACCAGGGATCGAACCCGTGTACCCTGCATTGGCAGGGCGAATTCTTAACCACTGCGCCACCAGGGAAATCCCAGTTTTTACTTTTTTTTTTTTTTTTTT